TTTAGTATAAGTAAAATACTTAAGTACTGTTAAAATCAGATACTCTAAGACTTTTACTCAAGTTGTTTAGGAATTGGTGACTTGTAACGTGTAGTGGAGTAATTTTCACTGTATGGTATCTGTACTTTTACTCAAGTATGGTTTTTAGGTACTCTTTACACCTCTGATACACACACAAAGTCAGCACTGGGGTAAAGTTGCTGTTCAAATGAGCACCGAAGACAGCACCCACAATGCAAAGTTTTTTTTAGGTGCAAATGATGTTCAGAATAACAGTTTACCTCTCCTTGATCTAGCAAGTAGGGCTGCACGATAAATCGCATGCGATATTTAATGCGCATCTTGTCAGAAAGCCGGTTCTGTAATCAGCGGTAAATCTCCACCTGCGTGCTTTCACATTGAGCAGCATTAACTACACAGAGCCGTTGTTCACTGACGAGCTGCGCAAAACCACGTTCATATTCGCGCGATTTTTTGAGCAGCTCGTCAGTGAACAACGGCTCTGTGTAGTTAATGCTGTCTCGTGAGAACCCCCGCAGGTGATGAAGATTTACCGCTGATTACAGAACCAGCTTTACTGATAAGATGCGCGTTATATATTGCATGCGATTTATCGTGCAGCCCTACTAGCAAGTGAAACAATCTATTCCAGCGTTACTCTCACACTGGGTATTGAGGGTCACAGGAGAAAGTAGATTTCAAGCCAAAGTCAGACCAAGGAGAGCAGAATCCCTCGACACCTAAACATGGAGAATATTATGCCAGTTTTGTGGTCAGTGCTGTTCTGATTACTTCTGCATTTCACAGCTCCAGAGCGGAAAAATGAGCCACAGGACAAAATAAAGCGGGAGGAGAGACGAGGTCCAAATCGTTTTGAGGAAGTCTCTGCAGATTTAAAATGGTGCAGTCAAAACACCTTCAGGTCCTCAAAAGTGTTCATGATACCGGATCAAATGACTTGTCTGAGACTCATATAAACATATAGGTATATAATATAGTAAATCGATTGTAAATGACACTAAAATGTGCCAAAAATAAATGCATCATTATGAAATCAATAAATTAATCAAGCACTCTTTCCATAATATTTATTAACACCGTATTTGTTTTCACTGAGCAAGGGGTTTGGGCTTGTAAGTCTGTTGTTTATTTCAAAATGACAGGTCTAGCGCTGGCTGAGAGCTGGGGGTGAAAGGTCAGGCTCATGATATTCATTTCCTACCTTGCAATGCCTCCTTTGCTCTGTCCAGCTCCTGCTCTTTCTGTGTTAGCTGCACGCGGAGCTGTGAAACAGACAGCAGCTCCACAGAGCAGCCTCCTCCCGTCTCCTCCAGCTCACGATTCAACATCTCCCTGACCTGCTTCAGCACTGACACCTCCTCCTGCAGACGCACCACCTCCTCATGCAACAGCACTACAGAGACAGGGACAAAGAGAGAGCATAATTTAACATTATAATGCATCACTGTGATGTTTTCCTGATTTATTTTGCTACTGAACAGTTGAACGCCTCTTATTATTAAATAATTTACTATTATTGTTATCAGAAGTGGCATGAGCCAAGTGGATTTTAAATGCAACAGCAAAATAAATAAATAAACTAACATACAGTTTTAAAGTTTATGGTCAGTGTTTTGCAATTTTCTTCAGAAATCATTCTAATATGCTGATTTATAATCAATGTTGGAAACAGTTGTGCTGCTTCATGTTTTTTGGGACCTGTGATACTATTTTTCAGGATTCTTTGATAAATAAAAAGTTAAAAAGAACAGTGTTTATCCAAAATAGAAATGTTGTGTTACAATATACACTACTATTCAAAGTAGTGGGGTTTGTAAAAATGTAGTCAAAGTTTGGGGTCAGTACATTTTTCTTTCTTTTTTCAAAGAAATTAATACTTTTATTCAGCAAGGATGTGTTAAATGGATAAAAGGTGATAGTTTAGACTTATATTGTTAGAAAAGATTTCTATTTTGAATAAATGCTGTTCTTTTTTACTTTTTATTCAAAGAATCAAAGAACAAAGTATCACAGGTTCCAAAAAAACATTAAGAGGCACAATAGTTTCAACACTGATAATAAATCAGCATATTAGAATGATTTCTGAAGGATCATGTGACACTGAAGACTGGAGTAATGGCTGATGGAAATTAAGCCCTGCGTCACAGAAATAAGTTATATTTTAAATTAAAATAGGAAACCAATATTAGAAATTCCAATAATATTTCACAATATTACTGTTTTTTCTTTTTGTTTGATCAAATAAATACAGACTTGAAGAGCATAAGAGAAAAATACAACTGATCCCAAACTTTTGAACAACAGTGTATCACACACACACACGCTATACACAACCATAATTGTACATAAATCACAATATGCCTAAAGTGCTTTACTGAAATGCCAATCGGCAACCAGGACCAGAACTATTGTATATAATTTGGAGTATGAAAAGAAAATCCTTCAAAGTATTCCATCAGTTCAACTTCATGCACAATATGCAAATATACCTCCTACTCAACAGGTGTTGGGACACAAGCATGAGAGCATTCCTGTCATTTCTGCAGAGTGAAGCTATAGAAACTCAGCATAGGTAAAGGGTGAGATGGAATGTCAAGTAAATTGTTTAGAGGCTTCAGTGATGACCAAACCACACCGAATCTACAAAGCTAAAAATCGTTCATACATAAATAAACAAATGATTCTGCACATATGTAGCAGAATCACACAAACATAAACTGCCCTTATGATCTCTGTGCTTTAACATTTTAAACAGCACTTCTGGATTTACACAAAGAGATAAGTGTGCGTACAGTAGTGTGTGAATAAAATCATAAAGCAAAAAACAGCAGCGGTGAGGTGTTTGTGTGTGGCATTTATAATGAGCTTTGACCCGCGTCTGTCTGGCTCATGGCCATTAATGCGATGCATTTAGGTTTGTTGCCAAATTGTTCAGGTCAGTCACCTGAGCTCTTCATTTAAAGTCCGATTCATTTTCTGTTGTCTCAGCAATGTGATGATCACATGAGTCTAAAAAGTACAACAATCTAATAAATATTCACATCACAGTTAGCTCTGAATGTGGGATTCGAAACGGGTGAAGAATCCTGAACACCTGGTGTTCCTCCTTGTCAGAACAGGCTGAAGTCTTGACACAGGCATCTAATGCAGCTCTAGAATCTGCTTTAGTTTGCTTTCAGACAGCAGATACGAGACAACACTGCAGATCTGGCAGGCTGTATTATACGGATTAGCGCTGTAAGACCTCTGCATCAACTAATCCAAAAATGAGCCTCTAGAATGCAGATGTGACTCTAGATTAGCTGGGTTCAGTGAAGGGTTACGGTTGGCTCTAGCCTGAAGTTTCTTGTCCAGACAGGACATTTTTATTGTTCAATATTGTATAAGTGTATGGGTATGAGTTTTCACCTGGACTCTTTGTGCTTGCTATTTTTGTGCCTTTAAAAACAGGATATCAGGGCTAATTTAAACAAGCAGAAAAGAGGCCTGATCATGCATGCTCAGCATGCATGTATAGTGGCCCAAAAAAATGCAAACACTTAAACCATGTTCACTGCATTAGAGAAAAAAAACAAATATGAAATGAAACCAATTGGGACTCTACTAGACCTCTATGCAGAATCATTTTTCCTGTCAGTTCCACTTAAGGTCTTTAAAATAAATGCCACTTGGTTTAATGATTTATTAACCAAGGCAATGACATTAATACATTTTTGACAAGTGTGACAAAGAAATAAAAAAGGAAAACACAGTGAGAGAAACAGAGAGAGGCATGTATGGGCTTCTCATGCTATGTTTTCATTTAATTTAAAGAGTCTTGAGTGTTTTGGCCTTTGAGGACATTACAGAAAAGGGCAGTGATGTGATAGAATTAAACTCTTCAGAACGTGGCTATTAGTGTAGTCAACCACAAAATGAAACTGTGAGCCTCAGGGAGAAGACTAGAGAAGGAATGATCATTGACTTAAAATATCTCACCTAATCATAAACAGCATTTTAAAAAATAACAATGACTGTCAACAGTAAACGTTGCCTTTTATCAGATGAATGTTTGCATCATACACATGAAGTTTGGACTTAAAGGGGTCATATGACGCTGCTAGAAAGAACATTATTTTGTGTATTTGGTGTAATGCAATGTGTTTATGCGGTTTAAGATTAAAAAAACACATTATTTTCCACATAATGTACATTATTGTTTCTCCTCTATGCCCCGCCTTTCTGAAACGCATCGATTTTTACAAAGCTCATCAGTCTGAAAAGCGAGGTGTGCTCTGATTGGCCAGCTATCCAGTGCGTTGTGATTGGCCGAATATCTCAAGCATGTGACGGAAACGTTACGCCGCTTACTATATTGTGATGCCGTGTACCGGCATGATGAGACAAAACCAGTAAAACCCATTATACACGAGGCATTTGTGGCATCCAGTGGGGACATAATTACTGATTATAATGACTTATACTGTTTTTTTTTCTCTTCATAATTCACAGACTACTAATACAGAAAGAGAAATTTATAAGCTAGCATTTGGTTATGCTTTGGTTATGTTTACACGGTTGCGTATCGCACCGTGTAAACATAAAACCATGTCTGCATTTGTGATCGGAGAAACGACAAACAACAAGCGCTACTCTACACTGCTCAAAACTCGCGTTTGAATC